GGTGGCGACGTGTCGTCGAGTGAGCAGCGGGCCGGGTGGTCGGGGTCTGAGCCAGCAGCAGGAGAAGGCCATGGCGTGGGTGCAGAGAAATTACTTGATGTATAACTATTGCCATGATCCAAGGAGAGATCACACCTCAACTCCTGAGTGTTGATCCAAGAAAGGCTCACATTTTTATACTTATTATACAGAAAAAAAGAACAGTTGGGGGATTTGAGAGTGGTCAGGAAAGAGTTGTGTTAGGCCCTCCAAGTCCTTATGTTTATGCTTTTCTATCATTGCTTGTTTTGTTTTCTTGCTATCAATCATACTATCAATGGAATAAATGATATCATCGGTTTGGTTCCATGATAACGACCCAACTTCTAAAATAATATCATACCAGTCCTTCGTCATCTTTTGCATGAGCGGGATATCTTTAAAATCTTTATGATGTTTGAATTCCAAAAAAAAAAAAAAAAAAACACTTAAAAGCAAAAACCATATAACTAATATGAAATAGTTGGGCGGGTCGGGATGTGGATAAGACAACCCTAATTCTCAACCCAACGATCTAAGCTTTTGTTGAAGCAAACTTGAATCAAATTAATTAACATCCACAATATCAAATTAAGATTACTCTTACGATCGAAGATCTAGAAGCAAGATTTGGAAGATTTGGAAATATTGTTCTAAATTGAGTCACTCCACAATATCAAGGCTTGATTGAATGTCTCGTATGCAATTCTACCACAAGAATGACTTGAAACTAGAAATGACAAATATGATGCTTGGATTTCTAAAGGAACGTCTCAATTTGAGATCTGAATCATATCCATCCATGAATCAGATTTTTACATAAATATTATGGGTATTTATAGTTTTTCGATAAAAGACGTTTGTGGTCGGGATTTAATCTCGATCCCCTTTAATCTCTACAACAGATGAAGTCAAATTTACCCTTTAACCATTACATAATTTATAAAATTAAAAATAATACTTTTCAAGAACAAATGTTGATGTGTTTTAGTGGCTAAGTAAACCGATTTGAAATCAATTTGACAAATAAGTTTATTTGGAACAGCGTGATTCTTATAAAATGTGGAAGCCTTCTTATAGGTACCCTACCTGAACTACGAAAAAAAAAAATAAGACCTTAAGTCATTCTTATAGGTACATTTTTGTCTGACCATGGACCAAAGGCTCGTATGTTGGGCTGAGCATGTAATGGGCCGTACGTTTCTGAACTTGGGCTTCGAGTTTTGGAGCTTCGTTCGCTGGCGGTTGGTTTGCAGCTGTTCGGTGCTCGGGTTTGGGGATCTAACCCAACCCAACCCGGATATAACCCGGTTCATTGGCCGGTTAATTATTACAATTGTAACTGATTTTTTTTCCCCCAAATCCCTCTCATGGGCCGACATGTCGTCTTGCTTCAGATTCTTTCACATTGGCCGATAATCGCCTATCGACAGAAAACTTGGAATCATGAGCCCCGACTCTATCTTGACGGAATAATTCTCATTTTCTGACTTTGAGCCTAAGCTTCTTGAGGTTTTTCAATTCACTTCGATTCCATTGATCTTGAGAACGCATCGAATTCTTTGATTTCCCAAAATTTCTTTTAGTCTAACGGAGGGATGGAGAAAATGATTAGCATGTTGAAGCCCAAGCCAAATCCGCAGCAGCAGCTGCGGGAATGGCAGCGAAAGCTCCGACAAGAGTGCCGCAACGTCGAACGTCAAATTCGAGGTAATGGATCTGTTTTCGTATTTTCGATTTCAATCTGGTTCGTGTTTTTATATATCTTTGCATTACTGGGTTGAAATTTTGATCATCTACCTTTAGGGATTCTTTAATTCTTAATGTTCTTTGATTTGGTTTGGTTTGGTTTGGTTTATTTTTGCTCGATGGGTTTCGTTTGGTCCAGATATACAGAGAGAGGAGAAAAATGTTCAGAAAGCTATTAAGGAAGCTGCTAAGAGGAATGATATGGTCTCTGCAAAGGTATGTTAAAAATTTCAGGTTATCTCTGTTTAATTCTCTAATCAGGGGTTTCATCAAAAAGAAAAAAAGTTCTAATATGGGGAAATTTTCCCTAATCTACTTTGGGGTGAGAGAGAGGGAGATTCTAGTAATGGTTGCTTGATTGGAACAATCCATCGTTTGCATTTACCGTGCTGAACTTCTTTTTGTTCTGCTGAGAACTTTGCCTAGAATGGCTGGTTTCATTTTGATCTTAAGGTTCATATTTTCTTGCTTGCCATTAGGGTTCATCTTGGATATGGACAGTAATGGGATCGTGTGATATGATTCATAATTTAGTACACTGTGTCTAATCCCTTGTTGTTTCTGCATGGTATTATACCCTTTTATCTCTTGTTGTTTAATACTGCCCTGCAATTGTTTTTCAGGCACTTGCCATAGAAATTGTGAGGTCTAAAAAGACTGTGAACCGTCTTCATGAAAATAAGGCGCAGCTTAACTCGATATCCATGCACCTTGGCGAAAGTGTTGGTATGATGCTTTGCATTTCCTAAAACTTGAAAACTTCTAGGTTTTTTTGCTGTCTTATCTTCTCCCACAACATACTTAAATGTGGAGTTTTTCATACTTTTGAGGAGTCAGGGAGGGATGATTTGATGATCATAGCAAGCTGTATAGTCTAGCTTGAGTTTTTGATAAACAATAGTTTGCTGCAATTTTTGTTTTTGTTTATTATTTTTTGATTATTATAAGTTGTTGAATATGAATAGCAAAGCTTGATGTGGTGTTAAATTTAAAAGTATAGGGAGGGAAGGTGAAGGGGAAGGGCCTCTTATTTAGCACATAATTAATGACACAACTTTTTATATCGAAGTGTAACATAGTATGATCATTGAGCAATCACCATTTTTATTGATATTTTTCTCAAGTATGTTAAAGTGCGAAATTTGTATTTCTCTAAGAGCTTTGAATGTGATCACACATCTGGGATTCTGGATACCTTTGATCGAAAGCCTGCCAATTTTGCAGCCATTGCGAGAACGGTGGGGCATCTTTCCAAGAGTGCTGAAGTTATGAAGCTTGTTAATAACCTGATGAAGGCGCCAGAAATGGCAACTACAATGCAAGAGTTTAGCAAGGAGATGACCAAGGTATCTTTTCTTAAAAATAGAAACAATTTCTAACTTTCTCTTTGGTCGAGGTTATGAATTTAAAGCTGATGTACCCTTGGTTGAACATTATTATTAGTTAGCTCCTTTTTACATGTAAATTAGAATTCTTTTTAATCAGGTTACAATTTTTTTCATCCTGGTTCTTCATAACTGGGTTGATCTTTTCTTTTCATTTGGTAAAATAAGGACAAGTTCTTACTATTATACTACTACCCTTACTTTGGATTAACACAAAAACGAAACAATCTAATGGTCTGGCCACAGAACACCTCGTCCTGAAGAAAGTATAAGAGGAGAACCTTCCATTCGTATAAACTACGAGGAGGCTATAATTACAAAAGAAATTTTGTGGTTTGACCACCACGATAATGTTGTATACTACCCTTCCTCAAATCCTTATGCTCATCTTCTATTTATGGAGATTTATTGAAAGGATGTTTCATTATAGTCCTTCTGTCAAGTCTCTGTTCTCTGTTTAATTTCTGAACACTACTGAATTTATATGTTCTCTTTGGAAAGTACTACAATGGCCTCGATAATATTGTTGTTATTGATATCTGTAGGCTGGGGTGATCGAGGAAATCGTGAATGATGCAGTGGATTCAGCACTAGATTCTGAGGATATAGAAGAGGAGATTGAAGAGGAAGTCGAAAAAGTTTTGTCAGCCATTGCTGGCGAGACTGCTGCACAGCTTCCAGAAGCAGTCAGGAAGGAAAAGATGAAGCAACCAGCTCGTGCCAAAGTCCAGGAAGAGGTATATAATGCATAGTTTTTAGTCCCCATGAAACTTGATGATGTTCTTGTTCTTGCCATGGAAATGTGAAAAAGAAACGTCATGACAGATTTATTCCTTTGCAGGAAGAAGCAATAGCTGAGGGTGTTGACGATGAGGAAGAACTAGAAGAAATAAGGGCTCGGCTTGCAAAAGTTAGATCATAAATTTGATATTTCACATAAGAATTTCAAAACAGTCATAATTCGATTCGAGTCACAACATTACTTCCCTGGTATTTTATGAGAGAGAAAATGAGCGACATATCGAACTTTCTCTTGTGCAAGTATGTTTGATCAAAATTCATAAACCGAGAGTATATTTGTCAAATAGATAGGAAGAGGGACGAGATGAAGGTGGAGATGGAGATGGAGACTAACCGTTTGATGTATATTATATCTAATCTGCTCAACAGAATGCAAATGATACATTGTTCTATCTTCTTATATCTGTATGAATGCATTATGTTTCTTTCTATATCCACACTGTGATCTCTCTTTTCCTTTACAGTACAATAGAGTCTGCCATAAAGTAACTGTAATAGGTGGGCAAAGTTCTGTATATCAGACAAAATTGTCCATTTTCAGATCCTGCAGGCAGTTGGAAGTTTGAAAAAGTAAGTTTTAAGGCTTTAAATATTGAAATGAACCAATGAAAAGAGCGATAGTGGTAATAGGTGAATGTTATACCAATCAAGTAGCAAATGGAGTTCCTTATCTTAGACGTTTCCATTCCATTCTTTAGCAAAAGAAAAGATGAAAAGAGAGAGAGGAAGATGCATGTTGGGTAAGCCTTTAAGGCACGTCAAGTTTTGCTTGTCACATTCTTTTTGCTATAGATTATGATAGTTAGAAAAAGTCACGAATTCAAGCATTTTGATTATTTCAAAAGCATGATAGACTTCTTGTCCTGTTTGATTCCCTTTGGCTCAGCAGTTATGCTTATTCATCCCGTGATGATATGAACAGTAATTGTGTAATGATTCCAGAGCTAATAAAAGAGAAATAGCAGAGCTCACTTTTCTTTTCTGCTTTTCTAGCTCTCTCTCTTTCTGTTTTTTAGTATTTGCTTATTGACTAGAACTTCTTTTGAACTGTGCTTGCTTTTTTGTTTCTACAACTACCTCCCCAAATCTCCATCCACCCACCCTAGGCTCTGTCTTCTCTCTCTAGCTTTGGAAATTCTTTACTCCAAGTTTGTATTAGCCTTATCATCCAAGTAACTTTGGTCGTTCATCTGAGATAGAATCTTATATATACCCTCAACCATTGTTGGCAGAGATAACTTTGTACACACACAAAAGAAATGACAACTTCTTTCTCTCACAGTTGTCTTTCTTTCTTTCTGCTTCTTGCTATTTCATTTGCATCTGCAACTTCTCCAAACCAAGAGCAGCCAACCTTATCTTCAACAATCAACTATCCAATCCTTCAAGCAGAGAAGCTCATTAAAGACCTCAACTTGTTCCCCAAGGAATCCATAAACATTGCAGCAGAAAACCCTTCATTTTCGTCTTCAGGAATCGTCGAGAAAAGTTTTCAGTTCCCTTTCATTGGAGGAAAAAGTCAAGGCCCTTCAGTTCAAGAACTTGGCCACCATGCTGGGTATTATCCCCTTCCTCATACTAAATCAGCAAGGTAATTAAGCACACTTTCAATCAGAGGTTATGCATATTATAAGATGTGATTGGTACTTTTTCTTTGATCCTTCATTATAAATTGGATAATGGGATGCAAAAGGATAAGGAGAAAAATTGTTTTTTGTTTGAATACGAACAAGATTAGTTTCACTCATCTCTCTAGCATTTTGTTCATGCCTGCTACAATCTTGACTGTAAATCTCTTATAACTCAAGTTGTGAATGAATTGCTCTTCATTCTTATTAATTCCAACTTGAGAGACTTTGCATTGGCCTGTAATTCTCAGTTGAAGTAGGTTATTTGGAATTTTTTATATTCATGTGAAGGATATACAGCTTGTTGAATAAAAAAATATCAAGGAATCTTTTCACTTATTGGTCCTCATCTGAGTCCGTGATCCCTGTCTGTATTTCCCATTTCTCCCAACTTCGGTTTTTGGAGACTTTCACAGGACTGATTTGTTTTCTTTATTCATGTCATGTGACTCATAAACAGGATGTTCTACTTATTCTTTGAATCAAGAAACAGCAAGAAGGACCCTGTTGTGATATGGTTAACAGGAGGGCCAGGGTGCAGCAGTGAGCTTGCTATGTTCTATGAAAATGGTCCTTTCCAAATTGCAAACAACTTGTCTCTTGTTTGGAATGACTATGGCTGGGATAAGGTAACAACCTGCCCCCATGTCCTATTCAAAATCACTCTCTTTTACTTCTTCGTCTGATTTTGGTCATATGGATCCTTGCATGCAGACATCAAATCTTATTTACGTCGACCAGCCTACTGGAACTGGTTTCAGTTACACTTCCGACGATGATGATATTCGTCACGATGAGGAAGGAGTCAGCAATGATTTGTATGACTTCTTGCAGGTAACCACAATTTCGCTTCGGTTTCATCTAGTATAACAGTATCTTGATACATTGTGTAATGGCAAGAAATCCTACATTATTAACAAATCGCTTCCCTTACATTTCTTGGCTATACTCATTTTCTCAGGCATTTTTTACTGAGCATAAAGAATTTGCTGCAAATGACTTTTACATCACTGGCGAATCGTATGCCGGGCACTACATTCCTGCATTTGCAGCCAGAGTTCACCAAGGAAATAAAGAAAAGCAGGGAATCCATATAAATCTTAAGGTACCTATTATAACATATCTTCTTTCCTCAATTATTTTTATCCAAATTATAAGGCGAATGTTTTATCAGGGTTTTGCAATTGGCAACGGGCTTACTAATCCAGAAATTCAGTATAAAGCATATACTGATTATGCCTTGGAAATGGGATTGATTGGAAAATCTGACTTCAACAGCATAAACAAGTTGGTCCCAGGCTGTGAAAAGGCAATCAAAAGTTGTGGTAACTTTCTAAATATCTCCCAAAGTTTTTCTCAAATATATGATGCCATAAGGTATGGCGAAGTGACGTCTTTTCGATACGCTTTTCTCTGTCATGAATCCATCAGGTACTCATGGGGGAAGTGCTTGTGTGTCTTCTTATATTATCTGCAACCGGATATTCAGTAGAATCATGGGCGTTATCGGGGACAAGAACGTAAGGACAGACAAACTAAATGATCAAATCTTATAATTGAAGTACCATGTTGTATTTAGTTCTTACAACTCTTTCCATTAACTACCATTTTCCTCTGATGAAAAGGCTATCATGTCTTTGTTATGCAGTACTATGATGTTAGAAAGAAATGCATTGGAAATCTTTGTTATGACTTCTCGAACATGGAGAAATTCCTTAACGAAAAATCAGTAAGAAACGCGCTCGGAGTCGGGGATATGGACTTTGTGTCATGCAGCAGCAAGGTGTACAGTGCCATGCTTATGGATTGGATGAGAAATCTTGAGTTTGGCATTCCAGCTCTCATTGAGGATGGAATAAAGGTGTTGGTGTACGCGGGCGAGTATGACCTGATATGCAATTGGCTCGGTAAGTTCTCCATGCTCGCATCTGAAATCGTTCTCCTTTTGAAGTCGAATCGTTTTCGAAGAAAATGTTTCTGAAAGAATTTTTACTGTTGTCGAAGGAAATTCGAGATGGGTTCACGAAATGAACTGGTCTGGTCAGAAAGCATTTGCAGCATCCAAAATTGTTCCATTCTTAGTAGATGGTAAAGAAGCTGGCGTTCTCAAAAGCCATGGTCCTCTTGCGTTCCTAAAGGTCTTTCTCTTTCTCCCAAATATAAAATACCAAACATTTGAACATTGTGGATCATATTATTTCAGGGATCATCAGAGGTTCTAATTGAATGTGGTGTGGTTGGTTGAACAGGTTCATAATGCTGGTCATATGGTGCCAATGGATCAGCCTAAGGCTTCGCTTCAAATGCTGCAGAGTTGGATGCAGGGCAAACTTGCCTTGGATGAGACACATGAAAGACTTGCTCCAAAATGACTGCTATCTCTCAACTCAATTTCTTCCTTGCGAAAAAATTAGACTCTCAAAATTAACTAAATGGGTCGGGACGGGGATGGGGATGGAGATGGAGATGAAGAGTATAATCTCATTCTCAACCCTATTTATGTAACAAAAAAAAAAAAAAAAAAAAAAAAAAAAATATATATATATATATATATATATATTCTCCACTCTCCCTTGTCCCTCGTCTAAACAGAAAATCCATTCTCTATTCGGGCTAGGTTCTCTCATGGGTAAAATGGACATCTCTACTCATTGACCAATACATATATCTTTTTAAAATTGAATCATCAACCTCTAAAATAACTTGCGTCTCACTTGTGTATTGTGAACTAGTATAAGTAAATTCACGTATGTATAATCATAAGAATACTCCAAGATTGTTAGTACGTTACTAATTATTCAAGTTTAGCACTAAACCGAATCAAACTAAAAGATTAATAATGAAATTTATTCATCAAATAAGGCAAGAATATATATATATATATATATAAAAAGGGTAGGTTACCCTATGAATATTATATAAACCCTACAGTAGTAAGTAGTAAATAGTAAATAGGTAAATAGAAGAAAGAAGTAAAAATTGAAGTATTTTGGTTTCTAGAAATGGGTATTAACATAAATAGAAACTGGGCACAAACATAAAGCTTCCCTAAAAGAATATTCATAGCCATAAATATCAATCAATAAAATGATGAAAAAAAAAAACATAACCAAAAATGTATGGTTCTTTAGGGCACTGACTGAATAGCAATAACAAGGTGAATTTTATGTGCAAATATAGATAGCATCAGCTCAACCCTACAAAAATAGGATTTTTTTTGTTTTTTTTTTAAGGCAATTGGGGATTTGGGGTTGCATTTTAGGGCACTGTTTTTTAGCTTGGATGTGACAAAATGGCCTATATTTTCATGGGTTAAATCACTTCACCACCATATCATTGTAGGGTTATTATTATTATTTCAATGTGCTTCAGAAAATACTCTATGAAAATATACGATAATAACACTTAGGGAGAGTATATATATATGAATTGATACCCATTCGAGTGATGGGAGTTCTGTTGGGTGTGCAAACATAATCGATATAAGCTCAAAATAATAATAATCATTACGGTTTGTACCAAGAATACATTTTTTTTCTTTTTTAGTAGCTCAATCTGTAATAGTTTAAGACCACTCCTAATGAAAAGGAACGATTCGTTCCCCTCTTCAAATGATGTGGAACCTCACAAACATAGTTAGTTCGAACCCATTTGGAAAAAAAAAAATGTGAGTTCATAAACTTTAAAATTTAAGAGAAAATTACTGTTAAAAAGGAAGAAAATAATCCCAATTTTCAAAAATGATTCCTAATATTAAAGAAAACATTCTTCTGGGTAAATATATATTATATATATATTGAGTGTTGGTGATGGGTAATAGGTCCCTAGTTGTGACACGTTTTATTGTGGAGTTCCAATGCTTTGTTAGTGGTTAGGTTTAGGGGCATTAATGTGTTAGGTTTTCTATTTTTCTATCACTTCATTTTCACTGCCTATTTTTTTTTAGATTTCGACCCGACTTTCTAAAACCCTAAATCGATCATAAAATGTTCCTACTTAATTCTATCTTAAAAAATTTACTCGAGATACTTTATCTTCACGAACTAGGGTTCTTCGTCTTTTAAGGATCACTTTCATTGTAGCATAAAAAATTTATAAACGCTCTGCTTACACACTCGATCATTTAGCCTCTAAAAAGTAATTCTAGCATCTAATTTCCATGAGAGTTCTACTCAAGAGACGTTATCAACGGGTAACTTTTGTCAGAAAAGAAAAAAACGTTTAATCTCTTAAGGTATTCTCATCTCTTTCTCGATACGTACATCCCTACTCCAATCTCATATCCAACTATTTTAAAACGCATGAATCTATTAGACACAATGTTTCGAGTTTTATTAGATATAAAATTGAATTTATATCTAACATAGAAGTAGAATGACTATAAAATTAAAACCTTATACATCTATTAAATAATATATAAAGTTTAAGATCGAAATAGACACAAACTTGAAAGTTCACGAGCTAAATTCACAATTTAACCTAATAAAACTATTTTCGATCTATTTATGGTGGCCAAATTCTCTTTCTATTGATTATACATTAGCTTCCATGTCTAGGTAAAAAATCACGAACCTCTACAATGATATGATATTTTTCCATTTTGAACATAAATTTTCATGGTTTTACTAACAGAGATAGTGTTCCTTACTTATAAATCTACGATCTTTTGACTCTTACTCTCAATAATCCTCGACAATCATCTACCTTTGCTCGGCTTTGGATGCTTTTGAGAAGAGGGGGGGGGGGGGGA